TGGCATTCCAATTAGGCTGATAAAGACATTAGGTCCGAAGTCTAAGCAGGCTTTGAGAGAGGCAGTGAGTACAATAATAATAGATGGTGAAGTTCCCGATGGATGGAAACTTAGCAGGATGAGCATGATCTATAAAGGAAAGGGGGACAAAGCTGACATAAACAACTACCGTCCTATAACAGTGACATCAGTGGTCTACAGGCTGGCGATGCAGATTATAAAGGAAAGACTGCAGGCGTGGATAGAGGATGAGGGGGTGCTGGGGGAACTGCAGAATGGGTTTCGGAAACACAGGAGGTTGGAAGACAATCTGTTCTCACTGACGCAGTGCATCGAAATAGCAGAAAAGGAACACAGGCCCCTGTGGCTAGCATTTTTGGATATCAAGGGAGCGTACGATAGCGTGGTTCAAGAGGACTTGTGGGGAATAGTGGACACACTAGGCGTGGAACATGTAGTCACTAATCTTTTAAGGGGTATCTATAAAGGTAACAAGGTAGTTATAAAGTGGGAAAAACAGGTATCCAAGCCTGCAGAGGTAAAACGGGGGCTTAGGCAGGGGTGCCCCCTGTCACCCTTATTATTCATGATGTACCTGCAAGGATTAGAGGCAAAATTAGAGAAAAGTGGACTTGGCTTCAACCTCTCTTTAGTCAAACAAGGAAAACTTATTGATCAGGCACTACCAGCATTAATGTACGCAGATGATATAGTGCTAATGGCCAACAACAAGGAAGATTTGCAGAGATTGATGGACAACTGCGGTAATGAGGGAGATAGGTTAGATTTTAGATTCAGTAAGGAAAAATCAGCAGTCATGATTTTCAATGACAACGAAGGTAGTGAGCTTAGAATACAGGAAGTCACGCTAGAGATAACAGATAAATACAAATATCTGGGCGTATGAATAAGCAATGGGACCGAGTACCTGAGGGAACACGAAATATACGTGACGACTAAAGGTAACAGGAATGCAGCAGTGATGAAAAATAGGGCACTGTGGAATTACAATAAGTATGATGTTGTGAGAGGAATATAGAAAGGGGTCATGGTTCCTGGGCTGACGTTCGGCAATGTGGTCTTGTGCATGAGATCTGAAGTTCAAGCAAGATTAGAAATTAAGCAACGTGGAATAGGTAGGCTTGCTTTAGGAGCTCACGGGAATACACCAAATCTTGGAGTACAAGGTGATAAGGGATGGACATAATTTGAGGGCAGGGAAGCTAGCAGCAAGATAAAATTTGAGAAGCGATTGAGAGAAATGGGGGAAGAGCGTTGGGCTAGGAAAGTTTTCAGCTACTTGTACATGAAGAATGTCGATACAAAATGGAGGAAGCGAACCAGGAAGTTGACTGGTAAATACTTGGAAAACAGCAGGGGGCCAAACCAAAAAAAAAAATTATTGGTTAAGAAGAAGGTGAAGGAAGCTGAGACCGATATGTGGAGAATTGGCATGATTAAGAAGTCCGCACTAGAGATCTATCAAACTTTTAAGCAGGAAATAGCCAAGGAAAGGATCTATGATAATACTCGGGGTAGTTCTCTACTGTTTGAGACCAGGACGGGAGTATTGTGAACAAAGACGTATCGGGCCAAATACGAAGGGTTAGACACGGCATGCAGTGCGTGTGGAGAGGAAGAAGAAACTGCCGAACACTTGATAATGTTCTGTAAAGGGCTTCACCCTATAGTTCAGGATGATGGCGCAGAGTTTTTCAAAGCACTGGGGTTTAGGGACCGGGAGGGCAAAATAAACTTTAAGCGGGTAGACTTAACTAGAAGGAGGTTATCTGATTGGTGGCTAAAGTCAAGGCACGAGTGAAAATTAAACTCTTCACTGCAAAGTACGAATCCTCAAACTCTTTTTTAAGGAAAAAAAATAAATATAGTTTTGGTTCATTAGGTATTACGGCTTGGTGGCGCTAGCCACCGCCCGATCTAAAGGGTACAGCCATATCCATCCATCCATCCATCCGTCCAGCGATAGCTCCTTTGCCCTCGTGTGTCCCGAAACGCCGCATGCGGCACACCGCACCATGCGACGCCGCACGCCGCATCGCACGGAAAATCGCACGTCTGTCTCTCGTTTAAGGCGGGAGGCGTGTACAATATCAGTGGACGGCAGAGATGATGAGGATAGAGTGCCCAAGGGGGCGATCTCATAGGTGACCTCGGAAAGTTGGTGCAAGACTTTGTAAGGCTTGTTGTAGCGAGCGAGGAACTTCGAGGACAAGCCAACGTGACGGGAGGGAGTCCAGAGCAAGGCCAACGATCCTGGGGAGTAAGAGGCAGCTCTGTAACGGCTGTCGTAACGATCCTTTTGAGAGAGCTGCGAGGCAGAAAGGCGATCCCGGGCAATCCAGCGAGCCGCTTGAGCCCGAGTAGTTGCATCGTGAGCGTACTCGGTAGGAGTGTCAGTATGCGACGGCAGAAGAGTGTCAACAGGCAAAGTGGGGTGACGGCCATACAAGAGATAGAAGGTAAAAAAGCCAGCGGTGTCGTGTCGTGACGAGTTGTAGGCAAACGTCACGTAAGGCAAAGTGGCATCCCAATCACGGTGATCTGCGGAGACATACATGGATAGCATTGTCGTCAGAGTGCAGTTAAGGCGCTCAGTGAGTCCATTTGTTTGCGGGTGGTAGGCAGTGGTGAGTTTATGACGTGTGAAACACGAGCGAAGAATGTCGTCCACGACCTTGGAGAGAAATGAACGACCACGGTTGGTCAGCAGTTGACGCAGTGCTCCATGGGGGAGAATAACGTCATGTTGGAGAAAATCCGCGACATCAGTAGCACAGCTTTTTGGTAGCGCTCGCGTGATAGCAAAGCGTGTCGCGTAGTCTGTAGCCACCACTACCCACTTATTCCCACTCAGAGACGTTGGAAATAGTCCAATGAGATCGAGGTCAACGCGATAGAAAGGGTCTGTTGGAATGTCGATAGGCTGAAGTGGGACAGGTGGTGCCAATGAAGGACGCTTGCGGTGCTGGCAAGACTCACAAGCTTCAACGTATCGGCGCACAGAGCGATAAAGGCCGGGCCAGATGAATCGACGATATACGCGGTGATACGTGCGGGCTGCTCCGAGATGTCCAGCAGTTGGGGCATCATGATGTTGTTCGAGCACAGTGGAACGGAGCGTTGCAGGAACTACTGGAAGAAGTTCTGGGCCTTCGGTGCTTTTGTTGCGCCGATAGAGAATTCCGTCATGAAGCGTGAACAGGTGAAGGGAAGGCTCCGAGGTGTCAGAAGCTAGACAGCGTATGATAGACCGCAAATTGGCATCATTGGGTTGTTCCCTACGTATGTCCGTGAAATCAGAAATGGCGAAGACGCAGGCATCAGAATCGTGCGCTGACAGGTCAGGGGGATCGACGTGATGGCGAGATGGACAGTCGGCATCCTGGTGCATTCGGCCAGACCTGTAGCTCACGTCAAAGCTATATTCCTGTAGCTTTAAAGCCCAACGACCCAGGCGTACAGAAGGATCTTTGAGGGAGGACAACCAGCACGGGGCGTGGTGATCCGTGATGACCGAAATGTGGCGGCCGAACAAATATGGTCGGAATTTTCCAACTGCCCATACAAGAGCGAGGCACTCGCGCTCAGTCATGGAAAACTTGCACTCGGATGGGGAGAGAAGGCGACTCGCGTAGGCGATTATACAATTTTGACCCCGTTGTCACTAGGCGAGGACAGCGCCAATACTGAGTCCGCTGGCGTCGGTGCGAACTTCAGTGGGCGCAAAAGGATCGAAATGACCTTAGGTATGCGGGGAAGTGAGCAACGCAGTAAGTCGGCGAAACGAATTGGCTTGCTGGGGACCCCAAGAAAACGACGTGTCCTTGTTCAGTAGCTGTGTCAAAAAATGGGCAATGTCGGCAAAGTTGTGGACGAAATGCCGGAAATACGAACAAAGGCCGGCAAAGCTCCGTACATCTACCGTAGAACGGGGTGTGGGAAAATTTTCGACGACGCGAATTTTGTCGGGATAGGGTTGCACGCCTTTAGTACCGACAAGATGGCGTAGCACAGTGATTGTTTGGCGGCTGAAACGGCATTCGGAGGAGTTGAGCTGTAGGCCTGCCCTTCTGAAAACTTCCAGAACAGCTTACAGACGGTTCAATCGTCATCTTCGTCGCCTTTATAGTGCATTCGTTGATGTCAGTGATGACTTGTATCAGTATCATCGAGTCTCTCGTAATCTTGCGGTCGGTGTTGTCGAAAGACATATTAGGTTCTCTCCTTAAAGGGACCATGACATGGTCACCCTACTACAATTCATGGGTTTCAGCATAGACTAGAAGTAGAGGGTCTATTATGCTTGTAAAGACATGAAAAGCCTGCCATAAATAATATTTCAGCGCAAATCAAGTCATAGAAGTTGCCGGCCGTAAACTTCGCTCACTGCCAGCGACCGCCATTTTGTCATGGCACATGTGATGTCACATGAGCTGGAAGGAGCGGAGCCATAGTTTTCGAACGAATTTTATTTGCCCCTTCAAGTCATTTAATTCCGGTCCCAAGCTGGAGAAAACCAAGTTATCTCGATTTCACGTGCAGCTGACCACGGACCACTATTCTTCACTGCAACGCAGACGCTCGCACAGATAGTCACTTGTTACGTCACTGTCTTGAGTGAACCGTGAAGCCCAACTCTCAGGCAGCCCGTGCGTTTATAAAAAAAAATGTTCAATTTTAAATTAGGCGCTCAACCAAATGCGCTAAAATTTCGTCAGCTTGTTTGTGAACGCACAAAATTAAGCCCCATAACACAGATTATGATTGAAAATTGAGTGACATGGCCCCTTTAATGATCGTGCCGCGCAAAAGCATCGCCATTTTGGAACTGGGCAAGTGTTGCCTCGACCCCGAACATACCTGCAGCGCGTGGCGCCGCTCGGCCCATCAAAAGAGCGACAGGATAGCTCGTCGGCGGCCGAGTTGGTGACGACGGCCACTTGAAGACAATACGCGAGATAAAAAGGCGCCACGGGACGGTCACGTGCTCCGCTCCTCGCACTCCGTCCGTCGGTGCCGCAACGCTGGAGCTCCGTGGGCCCGGATACTCGACATGCTCGTCGTCTACTTGTAACCGCGCCAGTGAAAATGGGAGACGAAGTGAAAGCATGCAAGGCCAACACCGAGTTGGTTCCTCTTAAGATTGTGCTCTTCCTCTGGTACGGAGGTGAGTGCTCTCCCGTTTGTATTTTTTAGCGCCAGCTTATCGTGTTCCTTTAGAGTCGTCTGTACAAAAGAAAGAGAAGCCCTTTTCGCGGTCTGAGAAAACATTCGGCTGTGACATATATGTACTGACATCTTTTTAAGTCACGGGAAGAATGAAAAGTTTCTCATTGCTTTCTGCATTACTTTTGCCGATCGCAGTGTGCGAGAGAACAAAAGTAAGGTTACGTGCTTCCGTTTGGTTAAAGCATTAAAAGACGAAAGCGAAGGTTGAACCGCAACTGTCACACGTAGTCTCACGCGCCGCCTCGCTATGGGGCATTAGTTCGTTACGGTATTCAGGCGGGCGTTTCAAATTGACGTAAAAGCATTCTGAATTAATGATGCTAACATTAATTATGCGATGCGTTAAAGTATTTACGATTCGATTTCCCATTACCAGACGCAAAGATACGAATTACCGTGAAAAAGTCGCAAACGAAATTGTCAGTGGTCCTTTAGTAGCATTACATGCCTGTCGTGCCAGTGGAATGGGGTCAAGTGTCGCGAGTGTCAACACCAATACAAGAGCAGCGAGAATAGACTTTGGAAATCGTAACGCCATAGCGTTAAAGAGGCTGTATACCATATGCTGATATCCTCTGGGCTGTGTGCGAGCTAGAAAACCCTACCCAAAGAATCAACATTTAAAGAAACGATTAGGGTCGGAATCGAACTCGAAATTCTGCGGATTGGTCAGCTATACTTTTATTAAAGAATCACTTTGGTGCTTGAAACTGTTAGGCAAGATACTTTACGGAGGCATCGTCTCGCGGCAATGTGCCTTGCAGTTGCAGAGTTTGCCGTCCGCAGTGACAACGTAATGAGCATCACATATGTGCTCCCATGAGCCAGCAAGCTATAGCCTAAAGTTGCTTGATGCCGCAGAAGTATGGCAACGACCATTTAGTTATGATATACACATCACGGAAACGTCGCAGGCAATTTGTTGGGCTCTAAGCGTGAGTGTAGACGTTACGCTGGACCCCTGTCATTGGGTGCCAGTGTATTCAAAGTGCTTGGTAAACACATAATAAGCACACAACCACTCAATTTAGACAAAGACGTTGCTGCAGCTGGTAATGCTTCATGATGAAACAAGCGCTAAAAATTGCACACACTCAGAGAGGACACAGACGAGTGCTTACCAGCAACTGAAAGTTTTATTTCGAAGCGAACACTAATAAATGCCTCACACGCACGTACGTCATTCCCCCTGCCATCATCAACAACGTGATATACCAAAATAATCACTCCCATAATCGATGGCACACAACGGAAACAAACACGTGTCAAGAACTAAGAAAAGAAAAGAAATCGTAAAACAGAAAAAAAAACACTGGGTTATGTTCCGTCCAAAAATGCAAACTCCACATCTGTTCCATATGGTAATGCTTGGCCCGAGAGAGAAAACAAGAAGGCAGGGAGGTCATCCAGATGCTATAGGATGTGGTGTGCTACCCTGCACCGGGGTGTAGAAATAAGGGATACACACGAAAGCGTTCTACTTAGAGTTGTTCAGACAGACCAGTAGTTCGTAGGAGTGCTTGCACGGCCTTCTTCTGCAACTTTGAGGTCCTTTTTCTTTTTTGTGACGGGGGCCAACTTGTTGAGTGCATTAGAGAGGGATTGTACGCTATATTGCGAGCAGACGCACAGGACGCGTCGAATCGGCTCTTTATCTCCGCAGTGTATAGGCCGGCGGCAGCCATTCCTATGCGCACTCGTAAACCCGACGCCCAACCATAGTCTGTACAGAACAGTAGCATCACCTCCTCAGAGTCGCTGGAAGTCGAAGGCCTAACATTGTATCAAGAGAGCGTGACCTTGCATGCGTAAAATGCGGCTCAATCCAATGTCACAAGAAGCATTGCCGAGCAAACATGCACGCGGAGCTTTCTATAGCAGGACCTCGTGGTCTTCTCTATATGGGCTGAACGGGCAGCTTGACCAGCTCGTTCATTGCTTATAAATGCACAGTGACTTCACAACCATTAAAATATGACGTGGCACACTTCCTCGGTAATGCGGTATTTCTGCTGTCCCAAACACCTGTTCGTGCGAGCCACGCCCACCTTTGGGTCTTTTGGTCGTGAATGAGAAACGCAGCGCTGCCGTTGATGTTGTTGGGTCCTGAATTTTATGGTTGGAATCACCATCACCGCAGTTGAGCTGTTCGGCAGGACGCAGCTGTCGGTGTAGACGTCTGTACAGTCTTGATACTTCTCATATCAAAGAGGTAATGCGAGCTGCCAAAAGGCTGGTTTTGGCGAATCTGTTTCACCGATGTTTAGCATTGTCAAGCTCGCCAATGGCTGTTTGAGGCCCCAGGGAGGAACCAAAGGTCTCACCGCCAGCGTGCAGCCAGCTTGTACAAATTCGCCATGCGTGGTTTGGCAAAAAGATGTTCTTGTCTGTCCGTCGGCCGAGACGCTATAGGTAGTGAAGGCGAGTCCGGGCCTTATGTGTGTCCACTTCAATATGGGTCATTAAGACCTGTTAAATGGGAAGCATTTCTTAGCGAACTTCGGCGAATTTGAACGTATCTATCTATCTATCTATCTATCTATCTATCTATCTATCTATCTATCTATCTATCTATCTATCTATCTATCTATCTATCTATCTATCTATCTATCTATCTATCTATCTATCTATCTATCTATCTATCTATCTATCTATCTATCTATCTATCTATCTATCTGTCTGTCTGTCTGTCTGTCTGTCTGTCTGTCTGTCTGTCTGTCTGTCTGTCTGTCTGTCTATCTATCTATCTATCTATCTATCTATCTATCTATCTATCTATCTATCTATCTATCTATCTATCTATCTATCTATCTATCTATCTATCTATCTATCTATCTATCTATCTATCTATCTATCTATCTAATCAGCCGCCTACGACTTTTAGCTCTCCTGGCCGTTTCAAAAATGGTATCAATACCAAACTTGGTATCGCATAACATGGCTATATGAGGAACATATCTGAGTAGTCATAGAATGAAAATCATGACATGTATGTCATGAATGTCGTGATTTACATTTCATGGTCCTGCAGCTCTTGCGGTGGTTTCGTTCACATTGCATGTTGCAAAAGTGGTATGGTATGACGTAATTGCATGGTGAACACAAGCGACAGACCCTATAACATGAAGATGACGTTATGCGTGTCATGTAACATGACTAAATGCCACGCTCATGATCCACTGGTGGCCGTTTCGCCAGCTTCACTTATAAAAAATTTGGTATTACGCGACGTGAATGGATGACGAAGGTATGATACTGGTGCAAACATGATACACATGGGATACGTGTCATGTAACAACATGAGTACATGCTACGCTCATGATGCGCTCGCGGCTGTTTCGCTAGCTTCAGATGTACCAAACTCGGTATTACGTGACGCGAACGGACGACATAGGTAAGAGCGCTCGCGTTTTGCTAACGTAGCGTCGCTGTGCCCAGCGTGCGTGCGCGTGAAAGCTACATTGGAGTATATTGGGCTCTTCATGATGCACTCGCGACCGTTTTGTTAGCTCCGCATGTACCAAATTAGGTGTTTCGTGACGTGAATGGACGACCAAATATATGACTGGTGAAAACTTGATAATCTTGACACGCTTGCCATGTAAGAACATGACAACATACCACGCTCATAGCGTGCTCGCGGCCGTTTCGTTGCTCCACATGTACTAAATTTGGTATCAGGTGGCGTGAATAGATGACGAAGGTAAACGACACATCCAAACATGGTAATCATTACAAGGAAGTCATGTACGGCTTCGTTTACCTTCAGCTCGTAATGTTGCGCTAACTTTAGTGACATATCAATATTTCTCCTTTATGCTTCGCATATCACTGATTCCTACTGTATGTGGGATCTGCCTTTTTTTTTTGCTTGCGATGCGGGAACCGGTATCAAAATGTAGCATAATCATGCCTGCTTCGCATGAAGTCGATTCCTGCGGAAAGGGCCTATTTTAAATCACGACATCAATTGAAATGAACCGAGATCGTCGGTGGGGTCCGACCTTTGCCCTGCGCACGCGACCGATTGAGTTACAAGAGAAGTTGGCATGCAACATCTGCAGGAGTCGGACAGGTGATTCGGAGGTTGCGGGACCCACCAACAAAAAGGGTCTTTATAGTTACTACACAAAATTAGAAGTGTATCTAATACGTTCTATTGATCTGTTGGAAACAGTATGCATCGTGTAGTTTATGAGATCCGTGCAGTGACGCGCATACCGTCATTATTGGCATGTGATTCGTGTAATAACACGTGCACACGTACGTTGAATAATGCAATGACCGCGACGGAATAATGACGTGAGTTACGCTATCATTGCGCGCGTGGCAGAATTTAAGATTTTCTACGGGGTCGGGACGTTAAGAAAGTGAGCACGATGCTCCCTTGATGGTATGCGTCCTTTTCTATGAAACTCTTTATTGGGCTAAACTTGTGAGATTACAAGCATTACACACTGTTATCTGCGGCAGGCACGGCATTCTCACAGGCGCGCGCATCCTGTTCTTTGCGTCCATGGCTGGGCGATGCACACCTTCGCGAAGGATTGCCGCTGTTTCATTTGAGGCATATACACCAAACAGAGCGCCGGCCATCGATAAACCGATTTGCGGTAAGGGACATTTAACACGCGGAGCATTAGAGCCTTATATATATGGCTGCTTCTCAAGTAAACTTCACTCGCGTCCTGCCTGTCATGATAGCAGAATGAACTCGAACAATCAAGAAGCTTTTCAAGCATCTGCACCGAACATTGGCAACTATATCTTGTAAATGAAAGAGGAATGCATCAAAATCATATAAATAAATGCGCGTGGCAAAATTATGCCACGCGGCCCTCTGAAATCCCAGCAAAGAAAAGGCAAAATAAAAAGTCAATCATGTCGTGACCCACATGACCCGTCATTCAACGTTGCTATGCATGCACGTTTTGACATGCATGCAAGGCACTGAAACGCTCCGCAGTGCCCTTTTTAAAACAGTGCGGGATCAATACTGGTATTTGCAGCGCTTGCGGCGTCTTGTACTTATCACCCTCTTCTTCGTAAAATGTCTGGCCGCCAGATTATCGCGCGACTGTTGCTGTTTCGCGATGGGTCCGTGTAGATAACACGAAAGCACCAGCAAGCATGGACTCTGCCCACAGTGGCCCGAGTGTCACACAGGCTTTCTTTAAATGTCTCACTGCTCATCTCTTCAGCGGCGGCAAGGGCGTAGCCATGGGGGCTGCTTATGGGGCTTCACTCCTCTCCATCCCGTGCCGTCATGCAAGGCCAAATAAAACAGCGTTTTGGCATTGCAAATCGTCATTTTCTTAACGAACTTCGGCGACTTTTAGCGTATCTATCTATCTATCTATCTATCTATCTATCTATCTATCTATCTATCTATCTATCTATCTATCTATCTATCTATCTATCTATCTATCTATCTATCTATCTATCTATCTATCTAATCTTAGCGCCTACGTCTGGGTACTTTCGTGATCACCTCCTTAACTTAGGGTAGACCGAAATCAGTGGGGGAGAGCAAGAGGGTCGAATGATTGTGGCTGCCTTGTTATGACGGGATTATTGTGAAAATCTCGACGCGTTCGACGTCGTACCCTTTCCTCCAGACACGTACGGCACATAGCCGTATTCGCGATTTTAACTGAGCATTCACCAGTTAGCAGCCACACCTGGAAACGGCGCAAGCAAGGCCAACCAGAGAATACGGTCAACCTTGCATGGAAGGATCCACGTTGCACGCGTTGAGAAGCGGCCGCATAGTTACTTTATATTCGCCATGCCGCTCGCTTGAGCCCGAAATAAGATGGTTGATCCTTCCGTCACAGGAATCGGTATAACACGAAAGTAAAACCTTTCTTAGGCAGTTATAGACATTTATAGTTTACCGTTAGCGTAGTAGTGGAGGTTAAGTGAATAGCGTAGCCATGCAGCAAACGCTCGTAGCGGACAGCGCATTATAGTTTAGCGATATAGCGTTTACGTGGTTCACGTGCCCCAGCTTGGGTGGTTGACAATTCGAACAGTCAACCCTTCGTCACACAACAGTCAACCCTTAATTGTCAACTCTTCGGAGGGTTGACAATTAAGAACAGTGAAAAGGATATTAAATAAATCGAGAATGTTTGCCTGTGTCACCGCGTAAAGCAGTGTTGCAAGTTTGCTTTAGTAATTATAAAAGTAAATAAATATTAAGCACGCACCAAACGTGAACGGTTTATGTTGCCGATTTGTTCACATCGATTTTCTAGTTATGCCAAGACACGCTCGAAATGGGAAGCTATCTCAAAGACTACGCCAACTTATCCTATGTAATACTCGGTCGTCGAAGCTAACTGAAGGCAAGCGAAGACACTTTAAACAGTTGTTTGCTGCGAACAAAGTCAATGGTTCAATAACTACACCAAAATCACGTCGTAGTGGGCATCCGAGAGCACCGCCATGTTTTACGTACACTACGTACACCTACGCTAACACGGTAACGTTAAATCTAAAAAAAATAGTGCGTGTACAGTAAGCGGTACGGGTATCGTACGGTACGTATCTGCGCATGCGCACTCGGATCCCGCTATCACGGTACGTCGGGTATCCCGGTAAGCCCGGTATGCTATAACTGTCTATTGACATAAGAGAGCTTATACAGCGTCTGTTGGTGTTTGACAGTTGAAGCACCGTTTTCCGTAAACGCATCTACGTCGAAGCTTATGGATACATTGGCATCCTTACAAATAACACGTGTGATTAAAGACTGATTAATAATTAAACATGCCTTTGTGGCCATTGATGCCTTTGGAAGCTGTAGTAGTTAACGGTAGAACAGAAGAAAGTGGTGTGACAGCGTGACTGATTGTGCGCAAAACTTGGGCTAAGGCCGCCCACTCGCGCAATGTTTTTAAACGCCACATTTTTTCGCGGGACGAGCAAGCGGGGATCGCGAGGTTACATCCAGGCGAAGCAGGTGCTTTGTGCTATGCGTTGCAGAAAATTTTTGGCATGGATGGATGCTACCAGCCATTCCGGCGCTCTGGGCAAGGTCGCCACTATGGTCACAGGACAGTGCCTTCACTGTGGGGAACTGGTTGACACCTAGCACATGGCGTGGGCCTTCCAAGATGACGCCGCTATTACTTCTAACCCAAACCCTAGACGAGAGGACTGGGAGCCGACTGTGCTCGCTTCTCATACTCTCAGGCCCAGCAGGCCTTGGTCCAGAGAGCCAAGACGGCGGCTTTAACTGATGGGGTCCCGGAATAAAGACTCCACCTAGTCTGTAGGGACCTCTGACGAGGTCCTAAGCCTCTCTTTTGCAAATAAATGTTTGTCAACACCACATGGCGGTTTGTTAATTAAGGCGTTAACAAAACTGCACTTCCATTGGAAACGTGCCGAATAGAATAAACGTGTAGAAATGATGCACCAAAGGAGTAAATCATGGATTTAACTGTAATGATGCATTACATGTACCAAGAGTACTGTGAGAGGGAATTCGTAGATATGAAAGGCCTGTTTTACAGGCTACAAAGTATGTCACCGTAGCGCAGTGAATAGCGTGCCCGGCAGCTCTTGTCATCGACCAAGAGGTCATGAGTTCGACCCCCATCAAAGGGCCCCTAAACCCCCTCTGATATTTTCCCAAACATTTCAAGTAAACAAGCGCATCGCATGCAGAATGCCGTCGTGATCAACCATGCCACACGCCGCAGCGCTACAGGTAGCGGGAGCGCCACAGTTTCGAAAAAAAAAAAACAATAGCTTCTCCTTTCCGGTCCCCGCCATTCCCGCCACTGACATGTGTGACATCACCAGTGAAACTCGATGACGTTACCACTTTCGATGTTTGCGATTGGCCGAGCGACAACTGGCGACTTCCGGTCACTCTGCAAACAGCTGCTCGCGCGCACCTTGCTGTTCTTGGTCGTGATGCCGCTTGCGAATCGACATTTGCGGCACGTAACGCAACACAGGGTTCATACCGGCACGATTCGTAGGGACACGGGGCGGCACGACAGCGACAGCGGTTAGTCAACGATCAGTGCGCCCAGATGACACACACAACACAGTTGACGGCGAGCTGGGTCGTTGGAGTGGCGGCTCCCGGCAGCCGGAAGCAGACGCAGTCTCGAACAGTGCGTCAGTGGTGACGTATGTCACGCGAGATGAGCAGGGACACTCAGCGGACTCAGCGAGGAGGGGGCCAAGCGGTTTTGGAAGAGGGTAGCGTAGGAAAGAGGAAAAGAAGCGACCATCGCGTTTCGGTCATCAAACGCGTTTAACTCCGCGATTACGGGACCGTTTTGAAAAATTCGCACGGCTACGTGTTCGTTGTAAACTCGAGCACAACATCCTCACCTCAATTAAATTTCGACCGCTGGGTGACTGAGGAGCCCTTTAAAGATATGAAAAGTGAGCAGTGGAATAATATTTTAGTGCAAAACAAGTCATAGAAGTCGCCAGCCGTGAACTCTGCCCACCGCCGGCGACCAACACTTTGACATGGCACGTGTGACGTCATGAGCTAGAAGGAGCAGAATTGTTGTCTCCTAACAAATTCAACCGCTGCGGCTCATTCAGTTTCGGTGCCAAGCTGGAGAAAGCCAAGTTATCTCGATTTTACGCGCAGCTGACCACGGATCACTATTGTTCTCCGGAATACGGACGCTCTCACAACGAGTCCCTTGTTACGTCACTGTCGCGAGTGCACAGTAAGGCCCAACAGTGAGGCAGCCCACCTGTTTATAAAAATGTTTAGCTATAAGTTGGGCACTCGACGTAATGCGCTAATATTTCGGCAGATTGTCTGTGAACGCAAAATAATTAATTCCCGTAACACAGGTTATGATCGAAAACTGGGTGTCATAATTGTAATCAAGCACTATGCCACAAAGCCAAGCCTGGTCCTTTGAGAAAAGACTGCATGCAGACGTAATGCTGGTGAAACCGTCAATTGTGGCTGCCCCACATACATGTTCGTGTGTACAACATTTGTACGCATATTCGACGTCATTTCGTATCGTCTCCCTTGAAAATAATTACACCACAGTCACTTTCACTCCGCATGCTACTCATGACATCGGTTCCCATGGTACGTAATATCTTCCGAGTTTTCTTTCGCTGGAATAATATCACTAATTTTGAAATGTCTTTTACGCATTTTTGTGACATGGGCTCGACGAAATTTTCACAAATGTCCTATGTTAGGTCTACAGCAGCCACAATATACTTCATTTTTGCTGATTACCCCGTAAACATCTTTCACGTCACGGCAGGCGCTGCGCCGGCCTCCCAACCGGGCTGCTGAAATGAAGCGCCTTCTTCTTTTTCTAACCACGTGTGGGAGGGGCCATCTCCATTTTTTTTTCACGCGTCTTCTCGCTTACCAAGCCCGGTAAAAATGAGGTTTTCGGAACCGCGAAATTGCACTTTACTAATGCGCGAAAATTTGTTTTAGGGGTGAAGCACCTTATATAGGGTCGCACGAAAACCATTGTTGTTGAGGCTCCGAATGGATGGATGGATGGATGGATGGATGGATGGAAAAAACTTTATTTATACATCCTGTACAGGGTGTAGTCACCTGCCTGACTAATCCCACGTTGAGACTGGGATGTCAAGCTTCCTAGCCTTGTCATGGCCATACTGGACCGCCAGGATTTGGTGGATATGGTCGTGAGACTTTATCATCTCTGTAAACCATTCCCGGGAAATGCCACGGCCAAGTGACTCACATTCCCAGAGCATATGCTCAAGCGTGCATACTTCTTTCTTACATACCTTGCAAACAACATCCATATCTTTTATATCGTACCATTCTTTTACCTGTGCCGGTGAGTAATAAGACTGTGTCGGTAATGGTCTAAGTGTGACCGCTTGTGCTCTGTTCAGTCTACAGTGAGGGGATGCAAACTCTCTCCTCCCTAGGTAGTAATGATCAGTAATTTCATTATAGGTCATGGGCGTATCCCGCTATAGATTTTCGAATCTAGCAGAATCAAAGCCACGTGTAAAAGCGTCCCTGTCCGTAAGTTTGTGGGCAATGCTGTTGGCCGATTCATTTAAATTCATAGGAATGTCATCGAGTGATCCAAGGTGCGCTAGGAACTAATATGTGTCATGTGTATCAATGACCTGTTTACTATTAATAATTCTAACTGCTTGTAGTGTGATCCTGCCCTTGCTGAAAGCTCTGATGGCTGGTTTTGAGTCACTGTATATCGCGGTGTATCGATCATCCGTCAGGGCCAACGAGATGGCAACCTGTTCAGCGATTTCCGGTTTGGAAGTGTAAACCATGGCGCAGTTGGTACACCTGCCCTGGTAGTCTACTACCGCGGCGAACTTATTTCGGTCTTTATATGAGGCTGAGTCAACAAAGCAAGCCCCCTACCTCCTTTATCCAACTCCTTCAATAAAGCCTTAGCCCGGGCTACCATTCTGGCTACGTTGAAGATTTGGTTCATATTTCTTGACAACGGGGCGACGATGATGCTCTCAGCAAAGTCCTGTGTTATCTTGGAGTACGTCACCTGGTCAATGACAGGGTTGACCATGATTCTCTTGAGGATCGATTTCCCCGTGCAAGTTGTAGAGAGTCTTGCTATTTTTGACCTTTCTTGAGCCTCCACAATTTCTCTAGTCATGTTGTTCACCCTTAACTTCAGAAATTTTTGAGTGCTGGTGCGAAACGAGAGACCCAGTGCACTCTTGATGACTTTCTTGATCACCGCGTCGAGCTTCTTTATTTGGTTTTGTGTGCAGTTATACATAGAAGCCACATATGAAATATGACATAGCATGAAAGAGTTGATCAACCTGATAAGATTGTCCTCTTTCATGCCTTTTTGTCTCCCTGCAAGTAGTCTGATCATCCTGTATGCGTTATCTGTCTTGAATATAATTTTCTTGAGTGCCATGTGATTCCTGCCATTTGCATCTATAAAGAGGCGGAGTACCCTCATCGTGTCGACTCGGGGTATATTTACCCCGTTTTTGGTCAATATATGTATGTCACTTTCGGATAGTGGCTTCCAGCCCTTAGGTCTTCCTCCTTTTTCCTTTTTGTAAAATAACTCCGATTTCTGTGGGGAGCACCTGAGACCAGGGGGCCTCAAGTATGGCACTGTCTGCACCGCTTCTGTGAGTGCATCTTGTACCTGTCCTTCACTACCACCAGCACACCATATGGTAAGATCATCAGCATGGATGGTGTGGTGAATGTTGCTGATATTGCTCAGTTTCCTGGACAGGCCGATCATGCACAGGTTGAAGAAGACGGGAGAGATGACCGAGTTTTGAGCGGTTCCACGATCACCGAGTTGAACCACGTCTGAGTTGGTGTCTCCTACCCTTAACCTCGCCGTACGTGCTCCTAAGAAAGATTTTATGAGGGGTTCCACGATCACCGAGTTGAACCACGTCTGAGTTGGTGTCTCCTACCCTTAACCTCGCCGTACGTGCTCCTAAGAAAGATTTTATGTAATTATACATTTTCGATCCAAGTCCGATTTCCTCTATCGTTTGAAGGAGGTATTTGTGCCTAATGTTGTCGAATGCTTTCTTCATGTCTAGTCCGAGGATGGCTTTGGTATCTCTAGAGTATCCGTCTAGAATGTGGTGTTTAATCTGCTTCATAGCATACTGAGTAGATAGTGTTATGCCTGCGAGTCCACAGCGAACGTCCGTGCCTCTGGAAAAGGCAATCTGTGTCAAGGCCAGCACGCGAGCCCGCCTGACTCGAACTCAACGGCGTCATCACGCGGTGGTGCCTTTCTGCCGCGCACGTGCAGTGAGTCACGTCAGCCAGCGAGCCGGCGCCTTCCTGTCTGGCGAGTCTGACGCAATGCGTGGCGACGTCACTCGTCCTTGGGTGCAGCCACGTGCAACGCAGCGGCTCCAGATTCGATCAGAAAAAATGACGCGGCCCAGCGGCGACCCCATTGGAGGAGTCTGACCTCACGACCAGTGGCGCTTCTGGTTGGACATTTGGTTACTCAAAAAATCCACCCGGTGCATATAAAAGAAGCCCTGCGGTGTGTCGCGAGCAGTTGAGCTATGTGTTAGCAGTAGACCTATGTGTTAGAGAGGGGAGCTCGGCTCTTCGGGTCTCTAAGCTGTCGGCCCCAGTGCCGAATTTGTAATGCCTCTGTATATATGCTGTACATAAACCTTGTTTACTTCACCGTCGTCTCGTCCGCTCGTCTATCAGCTCTGCGCAGAAGCAGTCGCGAGCTGAGAAACCTACGCTACCAAACGGCTGGTGACCTTCTCGGCGGAGTTCGAAGCAGTGGCGCCTACGGGACCGTGTTGGCGTCGCCGTCTTTCGAAACAGTGGTT